ATTCTACACTGACGTCATTCCTATAAAAGTATTTTACATAAAGAGGGAGGATTATTATTAAAGATTTTCCAATACTAAAGGCAACTTAATCAAAGTTGTCCAGCAGATATTCATTCATGCATTCATTCAGGAGAGATAAGCCACAAAATATCAAAACTAAATAATCTGACTGTTCAAAGAGTGTTGTTTAAAAGTGTATATAGCTGAAAAGATGGTTTAAATAATAAACAAAAAAGGAATCAAACATGTGCCAAGCTAACAGGGATGGACTTTGGAGAGGAACAGGTGATATTTATTTCTAAAACAAAAAATGTATTCATTTTTTTCCCTGAATGTTAACAGAAATAATATATTGACAGAACAACTGAGTAACTTACCACAACATTTTAATTTACTGTGATACAACATGTGTTTGCAAAGCCAAGTAATATCACTCTCTTGTTGAATGTATCAATATCTAACATCTTAAAACAGTATTTTCGTAAAACGTTCAATGTTTATATGAGCAGAACTTGTCACAAATGTATGCAAAAAGCTATCACAGAAAATAAAGATTTAAACAAGAGCACATTCCTCAGAAATAGGGAGATTTAGTCCACATACATCGCTGAATCAGGCAGTGCTTACCTCTGTTGGTTCTTCTGTTACTGCCTGCTTCTTCTTCATGTTCTAAATGTTCGTCGGAATAAAGAAAACTAATAAAACAACGCTGATAAATTCTACAGTTTAGCAAAGCTTCTTTACGCTCTCACATGTGCTAAGGGTTAATCTAACATGCTAGGTATAAACATAGTTGTCTGATTGGCTCAGAGTGCGGGAGAGTTAAAGCTGATTGGCTGATTTCCTAACATGGACTAGGAACGCTTTAACAAGATAGGTTGCACCAGCAGCGCTTCTCTGGGCGCCGCTTCCCTCTGAGGACCTGGTCTGAAAAGAAAACGTTCATGTTTGCACTAAATTCTAAGTGTATAGCACAAAAAGACAACCAGCCGGATTTGAATACTAAATCTGAAAGTATGCAATTGATGTCTTATGATTGATTGCATTTTTTATTATTTTCAATTAGGTGTCAAGTGCTGTGGAATTTCCATCAGACCGGCTTTTATAAATCTTCTTAAAACATATTTTTATAAATTAGTTTTAAGTCGTTAAACTTTGTAAAACATTTTTCACATTATCTTTGCATTTTTATTTTTAAATGTTTTTTTTCAATCAATCTGAATAAATTG